TTTGGTAGTCAAAACACAATTTTCCTTCGAACCGCTCAACCCTGCAATACTTCTGGCCTAAGTACATCCGCCTTTGCACACCCCTGTAGAATCGACCTTCACATAAAGCGCACTTTATATAATAGCCACCAGGTTGTGAAACCTCATATTACAACACTAATTAATGGCTGGACACGGCTATCCAAAAAAATCGGTTTTAATTAGCTCGATTTCCTGGTGTGACGAGAGGAATGGAAAATGTGAAGGAGAAAATATACAAGCATTCGAAACATAAATGCAGCTTCTAGAACCTAAAGTTCTACCTTTCGTCATTGACTTGGCCCTAGCCCGAACGATTTATGTGGCCGAATAGAACCGCTAAATTCCGAGCGTTGTTTCTGTGCTTTCTTTGATCAGGGCTATCTTACAACGTGCTGCATAGTGTGTATTTGATGGTCCATGCTCAGAAATCGATACAACTGAATCGGAAGGAGAACCTATGATTTGATAAAATCCAAAAAATCCTGTGGTGTAATTGTGCATGGGCAGGTTGCGCCGAAACTATTTGCTCAAATACATTAACGGTTACTAATATTACCCCATCAGAAAACATGTTCATATCTCGAAATGCCCGCCTTGGGCTCGAACACTGTCTTCAGGCGTTACGGGAAGCTCTTCGCTTGAACGGTATTTCTTTCCATGCTTTGAGGTGATCCCTCTCTCTGCGTTGATTGAGTGATGCTCCACAGAGCAGGCCTTGGTCTCCAATAAGGATCAGATGGAATAATTCATTGGATTTAAGTCAGGACTGTTGGATGGCCTCAATCGTGAGCGGTGATGGATCTTGGGAGGTACCTCTGCAAGATTCCTGTGCTACATTACGTCGCTGAGGCCGAAGCTGAATCTTGCTGGAACACGACTCCCTGCGTCTGAAGTAGCATTTTAGTCTAGGAAAGCGAGGTATCCTCAAGCACCCTTCCCAATTAGCCTCCATATTGATTCTAATATCTTCGTCGATGGCAAGCATTTGGGAATTGGTCATCGCTGCCCACTCATGATTTTCTGCGAACCATGATTTTCGCAGCACGATCCGAGCAATCATCAATTCTCTCTTTCTCCCTGGCTTCTTCAGCTGTTTAGCACCCAATCGTCTTGACGATTGAAGGTCGACTCCAATGCGAACAACTTCTCCTCAGAAAAGACAATGTCTCGGTAGCTCGCCGAGGTGAAGGGTTAAGGAGCATCTTGCAATCCTGCATTCGGCTTTCTGGATGCAAGGAGTGTTTGAAAAGATGGACGTTTAGCGTCGGTAAGATCGAACGCTCGGCTTCCCCTTGACTATAGGACTTGCTTTCTTATCGATCTCCTTAGATGAACGAACGTATTTCATAAAAGTTACAAATGCGCCCCTCCTTGGACGTTCTTTCATAGTCCCTAGGTATTTTAATCGTTCGATGGTTGGAATCTACAGTTTTGTTGCTTATTGAACGAGTTTTGACGGTCGCTTTCGAACAACGGCCATGCTGGTGCAAATGAATGATAGCGGATCGGAGGCAAAATCAGTAATATCAAACTGTGCAACTTCGCGTAAGTAGTTTTAGCACATATTGTAAGCATTCCATACATTGAACTTGCAGCTAGAGGCTTAAGAAGAACGTTGTACCAATATCAGTTATCGCGACTATTTAGTCATGCACAGATGCAGCATTGCATATTAGCGATCCTGCGTGACTGGAGCATATTTGCCTGGGAAGGAAGAGAGGAAGTGTTAGCAGTGGTCCAGTTCAGGTCTTCAAAAAAGTTGAAAAGCGGTGAATGCTTGAATATGCAAGGCAGTTCATAAGGATGACCTGTTCTCCTGAGCAACCTCCTGCTTTGGCTTGTTTCCCCCTCTCTTTGTTTCTTTTGCTGTCCACAAAATCTATCTTTTCCCTCGAGTAGGGCTTAAATTATCAACAATATTGCAGTAAATATTATTACTTTGTCACGACGGATGGTGGCAATATTGTGGCTTTCTAGAGTTTTTCTGCACCGATTCTCAAAACCGAAAAATGAGTGAACATGAACTGAACGTAAGCTCTTCGTATGAGGAAGAAGAACACGAGCGCCCAATGTCTCCGATGGCGGTCTTTAGGGTATTGGAATGCCTTCGGCGAACTGGTTTCATGAATGTTATAGAAGACGCATGCGAGGAACACAAAAGAGTGTGGTCCACTATTTCCTGAACGCTATCTAGAGAATGTCAGCAACAGTATGTGAAGAAATGTCGGACTGTACGAATCCTCTGTGGGGAAAAATTACAAAATTTGAGGTTTGTCCTTGCAAATTGCGCGCCAAATTCACAGCGTTACACTCATTTCCGATCGCTGGCTATTTGGCGTTACAATCAGAGCCCCAACCAACATTGCGCGAAAATTTGTCATTCACGGAGGATGATTTTGGACCATTTCTTCCCCGAACGTTTTGACAATCGAAAGACGGTTCAGAAAAAATAGAGCCAATTTCTATGTGTCCCATCATAAGCTCTCAAATTCAGGAAACCAATTTGAAGAAAATCGTTCCATGTCCTGAAAAGCTCCCTTCCTGTCGAAGTAATTCCACGAATAAATGATATGCGCAAGCAAATAGAAGATTTGTTTTTATTGAACAGTATCATTATGGCTAACACTTATGAATGCTAATATAGTGAGAGATACAACCATGCCTTAAACAGAAGCTTCACGCCTCATGAACTAATCATAGAAATACGCACGTTTGAACCTTTTGATATTGTGGGCTTTTTCCATTTACCCATAAAGGACTACCATAATTAATCATAGCATACGCATCCTCGCATACTTCATTAAATCTAATGAAATTGATCGACAAAGTTGACCTGTCACGAACATAATAGTACAGAACAGAATTCGCTTGGGGCACCTTTACAGGCGCCGAGGAAAACCTTCCTTACATTCAGGCATGGAAGGCCACAATCTTCGGAGCCTTATAAGGGTCAAAGCAGTCCAAGAGTTCAATCGGATGACTCCTATAACGTGAATTATCAACAAATGCTATCGAGCTTAAAGGAGGATTTTACGATTAGAATGGAGGTCGAGGAAGAAGTAATTCACCTAGTTGAGTAACCCACGGACCTCCTGAGGGTGCGAACTGATGCGCAATTCGCATCGAAAAATTTGACCTCGGCGACCTATTATGCCTCAAAGTTGGCGGGTCTGGCGATCTCCGCCCACCGACCAGCTGATCACTCGCCGCAGATCTATACGTGGGATTGATTAGATAGCAGAGAGAGCGTGATGTTGAGGAGGGCACAGCGATAAGAGTCGCATCAATGCGCAAATCAGCGGGGAAGGAAGGGGTCCCATTTCTCGGGTTCTGGGCCGTTTCTCATGGTTCTTCCTTCTTTCGTGTACCAATCACCATCCCTGAGTTAATTTGAAATGGGTTGCCTTCCCAGCGTGAATTCGTCCTTTAAGGAAACTCCAAAAAACTGAAATACCATCTACCTAAACTCTGTGAAGAGCTTCTCCCCTATTATAGGAGATAAAAGTCGGCTTTCAAAGATCGCGGCGACCTCCGCTGTAGATCGGGTCATTTCTGCAACCTTTCCCGGCATGGCACTCATACATACCCAATGTGACAATAAGGGGATGGGACAAGAAAAATGTGATGCACCCAATGGGATACACCAATTCGCCATACGGGTACATTCCATCAAATCTGGATGTATTAGTCAAAATAACCAGTGTAATATTTATAATAGTTTTCAATTCTTCAAACATGAATAGATTGAATAGGAACATATACAACACGAATATTTATTCCGGGTTATTGTATAGTTCGAAGTACGGACCTCCTTCTCTCAACAGACAGCTCATTGGGCTGAACTCACAGTCGTTCCAGTAGCTATTATCTCGCTTTGCTGCTCCAATGTCAAGCCATTGTAGGTCGGGAGAAGGTCTCGAGACTGAAAATAATCGATCCCTAACGAGGTATTCTATGTCAGTCGTTTCCTTTGAATTATGGCACTATTTATAGTTCGTAACGACAAGCCCGGATGGCCATTATCAGCTGGCAGAACTAGCCCTCATTAATCCCAATAAGGCAGACCGTGGGCAAAAAATTGTTGTCTTCCGAGTCGTTTCGTGAGATAGCGCGATGAACGGGAAGTAGATATTTTCTAGATGGCCGAGTCCCACATTGGCCACCTCGTCTTTCAATAGGATCAAAACTCGAAAACACCCAAACAACCCAAAATTTCTCACGCAAGTATCCTCAAAACGATTGCAAATTCAAGACGCCCCAGGCAACAATACACACCCCATACGCCATCGTTCTATTCGCTTGTGCCCGCAGGCGATGAACAAACACGAAGCCGTGCCTGAGGATGCGCAGTTTATAACAAACATCTTCCCAGGCCCAAAGAGTATTCAAAAACTACACGTCGAATAAAGTTTTATATAATTTTATTGATAAAAGTGACACGAGTGTTTGAGAAAGAGGACGAATAAGAAACGGAAGAATCATGTTTGAAGACGATGCAAGCAGTTCAGGGCGAATCCCAGTTTCGCCACATTTAAGCTCGGGAAAAGGGAGGGTTATCTCAGGGATATCAATAAGATTAATGGTAACGAACAGTTGCGGAACACGAACTGATGGCTTTTAAGGACACAGCGATGAGGATTCTAATTATCGCCCAGACGTACTGGGCACTAAATGCTTATGGGGATGGCGACGGTACAGCGATCGGTACATGATGGGGTCTGGTGGTAGCAATGACACGTACCTGTGACCTGGCGGATACGGTGACCAGTGTGAGGACTAGCAGAATGAACCACGGTGCAACCATATCACTAGTAGTGAAGAAGGAGGCAAATGAAGAGCGAATGAGGCAACACACACACGGGCTCCACCCCCTTTTCACTCTCTCAACCATTCACTGCAGCTTTAAGTACCTTCGTCAGCATAATGGACCCACACACACACTCACTCACCATCGAACTTCTCGCGTATCTAGCGACGGCAGGCGGAGCAGGGCGACGCAGCGCAGCACGGTGGGCTTACAACGACTGTACAGGAACGTTTCCTCCATCATTTGAGGATGAAGGAAGGGACACCGTCGAATCGTGGTGACAATGAATTGCTGATAAAATGATAATAATGTAAAGCGTGGTGATGACTAGATGATAAACACAGCAAGTCACATACGATGACAATGGAAGAGCAAGATCAGCATACAAACACAAATAGACGTGATAGAAGGAAGGGAGGAAACAATTGTGAATGAAAGATGATCTCAGATCTAGCTGGAATAGTACTGATCGACACCGAGTAACGGTTTCTGACACTATCTACCACACCCGACACTTGTGATGCGGATTCATCGGTGATCCGGCTGGACAGTTGAAGGCGTTAGCAAAGTCCACGCTGTTCGACAACGGTCCTTTCACCCTGAAATAGTCGGCAATAATGTCCAACATTACTATTCGTAGAACTTCGGCATTGATGCTGTAACCTTATGTAATTTTTGTACCGTGGAAGTTGTTGGGTGTAATTCCTTATGGACCTAAACGTGGCTTAAGGTATGAGAAGTGTCTCCCAAACCACCAAGCGCCTCCTCTCCCTAGCGTTTGTGACAAACGCTAAGAACAGCCGAAAACCACGGACGATGATATGAACCTACAGTTATGTTTCTGTGTAGGCACAACAGTTTGTACAACCGCTGTCTGGCTCCTGCGGTGGTAACTGGGTAGGCTTATTTCCTCGCTCGGGATTTTCGGCTGCCCTTCCTAAGCGTTTGTCGGAAACGCTAGGGAGTGAAGGCGATGGGCGGTTTAGGCCGATGTCAGACTTTGCGAATCGCGCGATTCGCTAGCGTCCGCGGTCGCGTTGCGGTACCAGCCAATTGAGTGATTCACTGGCCGCGACGCGACCGCAGACGCTAGCGAATCGCGCGATTCGCAAAGTCTGACATCGGCCTTTAAGGCACTTCACACACCTTGAGGCCTTTGAAAAAGACGACCTGGTCGAAAGGTCGGGCTGCTCGAGAAAGCTCCTTTCAACAACATCTACGGCGCAAGAATTACATAAAGATCCAAATTCAGTGATAAATTTTTGCTTAGCGGAAATGATGCAGCGGCTGGCCTTTTTTATTGCGCGCGCAAGTCCGGAGATCAGATCCTGAATCGTACGCCACTCAGGCCAACCAAGCCTTATAGCCCTCCATGGTCGCCTAATTGACAACAGATTTCTCTGGGAGGGTAAAACCAAAGATTTGCTCATCGACTGGCATCCGCAAGCCATTGCAGAGAAGCAAATTCGCATTAGAAATGCTTGAATGCGACCCCTGTTATGAAAGTCATGGATGCTGGTTGGGTCTGGTTTCCAAAAAGAACTGATCAACTCTACAAGCTCTACATTTTTATTTTTTGGTCCTTTCTGTGATTTCTTCCTTGAGGCAAAATCAGGCTTCACTTGCTTCAAAGTTTTTACACGTTTTCAGGGGTGGGAGATATTATTTAGTTGTCAAAGGTTGCTGTTGGCATTTTGGTGCTCACCCCGGGTGGGGGGGGGCCGGGGGGGAGAGGTAACTTCGAAAACAGAGTCGGTGGTAGGTGACACTATGACCAAGCCCAGGGAAGGGGAGAAACTCCAGGAATCCCTTCCTCCTCTCAAAGGCTTAGTCCCAAGTGCTGTAAGTGGCTCACTCACGAATCTCTCCCACCCCCCCCTCACCACGACATGTGCGCCTGGCGTTTTATTCATTTATTCGTTTATGCACAGTTAGATTTGCTTTTCCGCCAAAGGGGCTCAAACCCAGTACCGACAGCACTGACCACAACCATGAAAAAGAGCTGTGCTGGCAGAATCACCTGATTGGTCCCGGTGAGTGTTCCGACGTCCGCAGCTTCCGCACGGCTTCCTTGTCATTCATTGTTCCGCACCAAATCTCAAATTAAAAGACGTATGGATGTGATAAAAGTGTCACTTTGCAAATGGGGAAAAACCCTGGAAAAAGAAGGTTTTCCAAATGAAAATGCATTCACTTGGGCATAGTTGAGGAAAAACAGTTGATCATGAGTCAGATTCACTCCAGGCAATCGTGGTGGATGTCGATGTGACTGCTGGTATTTCTTATATGCTCTGAAACAGAATGATTACAGATTCTGATAAAAAGAGCTATTAAATTATCTAAATGTTGCACGCCAGAGAACAAACTTTTCAAACCCTTGCAAACGCCCACATCACTGCTACGAATGCGTTTTGAAAAGTTTCAGCTTTCCAGAGAACTACAGGAAATAGTTGTAGATTATTATATTCAACGCCCACAAAGGTTGGTTTTGAAAATACGAATTCTCGTGATTTGATTTGTTTGCGAAATGCTTTTTCGCGTTTGTGGTGGCGCTTAATTTCACAGCCCGTTCCCTGGTGTCGCATTTGGGAAGGCAGTAGCAAAATTGACATCAGATAGCAACAAAACGCATACATTATATTAATTTTCGGCACTATTTACCCTTTACTGCCCCACTCCTCAAGAACTGAGCCGGATTTTGATCGAAATTCGTCCATGACTGTGGATTTTGCTAGAAACTTGCCTTCAGGGGTAATTTGACCCGTAGATCACGAATATAATAAAACGTTTGGCGCCCGCGCCACAGGCGCCGGCGCTATCACAACAGTTTTGCGCGGGCGCTCGTAGCGCAGGCTACAGGTTCACTCGTAACAAACTGATGTGATAATCATATTCTACGGGTCAAAATACCTCTGAGGACAACTTTCCAGCGAATTTGGGGATCCGAGATGTTCTGGCGCCTTTTGGCGCCGGCGCTTCTGACGCGAGCGCCAGGCGTTCTAGCGGTAAACAAATGTGATATTCGTGTTCTACGGGTCGAATTACCCCCGAAGGCAAGTTTCTGGCCAAATTCACAGTCAATGACCAATTTCGATAAAAATCCGGCTCAGTTCTCGAGGAGTGGGGCAGTAAAGGGTAAATAGTGCCCAATTTTCTTTTTTTCGAGATCATGGGCCATGTGCCTCCTTTACACCGGAGGTATGCTCTTCCTTCTCGACGCTGTCTTTCTCTAGTAAAGGGAGGGGAAACAGGGTCAGGTGAGGCAGGGGCACACAGCGGTCCACTGTGATGTTCGCTATCGACCAGCGGGCACTGTAGTGACCCTCTGCTCTATGAGCATTCTATTCTCTGATTCGGTGATTCAACCGAATCAGAGAATAGAATGCTCATAAGTGGAAACGCAGAGAAAGGGTGGGGCCTATAACGTAATCCTGACTGCCTCAGCCTCAGAATAGCGTCGCAGGGGAGGAGGAAGAGGACAAAATATGGCCCTATCGTCGCATGTTCACTGAGTCTGCGACTACCGTATGTCGGGAACGGAAAGTAGAATAAGAAGTAGAATCGTGTGAAGTTCGTGGAAGTTTCTACCTGTTATTCTCTAAAAATATGTGCACTATTTTCCAAACCATCAAAAATAGACTATGACTTTTTATACTCCTACATTTTTTATTCCGAGGTCAATTGCACTCCAACAAATAGGGGGGGGGGACTTTCACTCTTCTCCTAGGGTCAGGTCGCCGGAGCAGCGCGATTATTGGAGTTTTAGGTTGACTTGGGTTTGGCCTTAGGCTTAGGCTTAAGCCTATGATTGGGCCTAGGCTTATGGTTAGTCCTAAGCTTGCTTTGAGCAAATGAGTGGTGTCTCAATTTTAGGTGACCTCACCTGAGCAGGAGTACTGCAACGCACTCCACAAAGAGATGGATCCGCTTTGAAGAGAGACTCGTCTAGACGGTATGCATCTGACCCCTTGCTGGTAAATACAAACAACTGATGTCTGTTCCCATGCGCTCTTGCTTGCTCAAGGATACATTTCATCGAAAACATCAGGAAGACTATGAATTATTTCATATCTTCTGGAAGAAAGAAGAGCGGAACTTTAAGAACCCCTCCAATCTCGAAAACTGAAGAATGTGCGAGAGCCACTCTTCGAACAGTTGGGAAGGTATCGTAGTTCTAGCAAATTTAGAAGATGGAGTAAAAAGTCGGAAAAATCTCTTTCGATCAGGCCAACGATGAAGCTCGTATTCTCCACAGGCACATTAGAAGAAGATTCCATTAAACAAAATGCGGCCTATTGGAAT